TCCCCAGATGAAATATATACCTTCCACATATGAGAGACATTTTGAAATATGCTGGACTTCTTGATCACAAATATATAAATTTAAAACCTATGGTAGACCTGACAAGTAAATCAGGCTTCAGACCATAAAACATTAACTTGCTGAAATTTATTATTTACAGTTTTTAAAGCAATTACAGAGCTATAGAACATTAAAGATAACTGTATACATCTTTAAATGCGTGTTAATTAGTATTTTAAAATACTTCGTTTTAAATCCTCTTTTCAGTTTCCTATTGTTATAGTTTTCATGGTTTGTCTCTTATTTATTATGTCATGTTAATTCATAAAGTATTTTATGACCTTATGTTAAATAGAAAGTTTCAAGCTCCCTTTTAATACAGAATAATTTAAAACTACTCAAAGTGTGTATGAAAGCCAAGCTACCCACACATACGCATAGGATGTACAACTAGAATTCTGGTGTATGAACATCTAGACCTTTTCTTTTCTTTCATTCCATAGTAATACAAATTAAAATATGTAACTAGGTTATGGGGAGCTGTCCCATTGAGGTCGTTGCTTTCATCATCTCTGTTAATATTTTATCTATTAATTCATTCAATGTATTTACTCCATTTATATTCCACTGCAATAAATTTGGTTCTCAGCTGCTACATTTTCAGTACATTATTGTGGTGGAGGAACTATTCCACTATTTTATTTTATTTTCATTTCCTCATTTAAAAACTCAGGACATTGGGTCCATTATATTGTTGAAATTGCAAGGTTCATTTCACTGTTGTTTCTTGAACATATGTCAGAAGCAAACGTTAAAAAGGAATATTGAAAGGCCATTTAGGAATTGTTGTCCATTACTGAAACCCAGTAATTCTCCTTTGTTTGAATGAGGCTATATGCTGTTTTTCTTAGTTTGTTTTCCCCGTTAATTTTGGGTTATAAGGCAGAATGAGGGGGGCATCTCAGACAGCATGCAGAAGACATCTCAGGCAGAATGCTGGAGAGAATCTATACCCTAAGTTGAAATGGAGGCAACAATTGTAGAATTCAATTTGATCTGCTAGTCTGTTCAGTTTCTGTTTAGCCTCAGAAGCAAAAAACAAAACAAAACTCTGGTTACAATTCATAATCTTTCTAGCCTTAATTAACTTGGGGCCAAGACATCAGAATGTTTCCCTCTTTTATTCAGTTTATTCAAATCTTTAAGACTTCCACTTGTCTTTAGAGGTTAAGTGAATGGTCACCAAACAAAGACTGGTCATGTCAATATTACCCACTGTGGAGCACATTTTTATTTATATGCCTATTTGGTAGTCTTTCCTTCAGAAAGGCTTTTAATAATTTAGCTATGGTAGAAATGTTTATTATTATTTTAGTACAAGTTTCACCAACACAGCATCGGGGAGGATCAGGTCATCTATGAGCCCTGCAAAATTAAAATAATTTTAAGCTGAAAAGAGTGGCCAACATTTCAGGATACCAGGAATTCAAAGGATTTCAATTTTCTCACATGAAATTATGCGATGTTTTTGGGTGAGATCACTGAAATCTGAAAAAGTAACTGATCCCTATTTATTTGCAGGTTAAAAAAAAAGCAAAAACGTTGTTAGTTATTTCAATATTCTATTGATTAATTGCTGCTTTTGTTCTCTGCACTATCTTTGTTTTACTAAATTTTTAGAACTATTCATGTCATTATTTTATTTTTTGTGATCCACTTTGTAGACTGTAAACTTATAAAGTGGGAAAGTAGCATATCATTTTAAGTAAATTAATTAATATTAACTCTTCCTGTGTCGTGCATCTTATGTCTGTTACCTTCTCCTTTATATCCCTGTGGGTTTCATAAGCGGTGCTTGATTGGAGCAAGGAAATGTAGTTTTGTTGTAGAATAATTCTGGAAATAAGTCCAATTGTGTTCAGTGGAACTTACCCCCTCATGTGTGATTAGGGGTTATGTGAGCTAACCTATTCAAGGATGGAATGGAAATAAGAGCGCTGTATGAGGAAAGCATAGGATGCTGGGGTTTCAGGCATACGCTGAATATGGGAGGCAGAGCTAACCTAATGAACATCTGTGGCACTTTTGCTTGCCCAAAGGAATAAGTTTAAGCTATCTCATCTTTTGTTTATAAAGCTTGCATTTTCAGCTTTGGATATCAACTTTCAGAAACTCTGAAACAGAAAAGGTATTATTCAGGTCTAGAGTCAATAAATCTTTCTGTTTAGATCAGTTCTAACCTTTCTGTTTAGACCAGTTCTAACAATTCAGAATCTCTAGGTTTCCTTAAGAAGAGGCAGGCTGTAGCACATATTTTCCAGTTATTATTCTGGAATGATCCTTTGTTGAATAAGAGAAGTGGAAGGGATGCAATCCTCAATCAACCATAAAAACTAAGCAGCTGCTTAATCTTTATTGCAGAAAAGATACCCAAAATATTTCCTATGTCACCAAAACTACCTGGTATTTACAAACTAAGGAGGATAACTGTGTAAAGCATTTGAAAAATCAGCTTCATAGAGTTTGTTAACCTGAGCAAAGCATCACATTTCAAAGCATTCAAGCTGTTATGATCTCTGCAAGGCTGCAGTGGCTGCTTGGAAAACAGAACCTGCAGAAGTACTGTTTGCATGCACATGAAGACTATCAGGGGCTTTGAAGCAGCTTTGTTGAGTTTTCTGAAAAACGCTGCTGCTTTAATGCTCCAAGCTGATGTGTTTTGCTTAGGCTAACATGCTTTACAAACCATGCCTAGGACATCCTACTTGTTTATTAAGTAGGCAAATAAAAACACAATAAAAATTATATATAGGCCTGTTTGTGTGTATGTGTGTATGTGTGTGTGTGTGTGTGTGTGTATAGCAGATATGTGGCATAGCATAACATACTTGTTTTGTTACTATATGCAAAAAGTAAGACTAATAACCAGGAATCATCTTTCATGGTAGTAGAATCTATACTGATAGATCAGAATGCTTTTTTTTTAAAGTAACATAATTTATGATCTTCATTAAGCTAAATTTATTTAAAGCTGAGCAAGATTTTTTTTAACTTTTCTTTTCTGATAATATGGCAGCAGATTGCTCCGAGGGGAATGGTAAGTTAGAGAACTTTCAGTTTGAGAAAGATGAGTTACTTGGGTGGTACTGAAATCACAGATTTTTATCAAATAGATTAATGAAACACAAAATGCACTCTTTTAATCTGTTATTTTTTTAACTTTGTGTGGGTGTTTTCATAAAGGACACATGCAGCTATTTTTAAAATTACAGTTCATATCACATCCATTTCTAAATATAATGCAGCATCTGTTTATAAATGTATTGCATACAGGTCAGGTTTTTCAGCTTAAAATAGTATTTGCCTTATAGGTATTAAAAATGATTCATGTGCTCCTGACTTAATCAAAGGAACTCAGGGTGAAATCTTACACTGGAAGAAGAAAATAGAAACGTATGCCTAGTTCAAAATCAAGTCTTATTTATATGGAAATGATTGACACAGAGCATATCCTAAATGCTAGCATGCAAAAGCAGAGTGAATGTACATCACACTTGTATTATCATGCAGAAAAGATCAAACCTTGATATTTTTTTTTCTCACATAATTCAGTTTGTCAGATTTATTTTTAGGGGGGAAAAGCCCAAGGTCATAATCTAGCAAGTAGTTATATCTAAAAATTGGGGGCTTAAGAACTAGACTTTTCTTGAAAAGACTGAGTTTGCCAATGCTTCAGATGCCTGTGTAAACAGTACATATGGAAGACTGTTATGGCACACAATTGAATAGTTGTTTTGCCTGTGGAAATAGGTTTCTTGGCAATGCTGGGTGAAACCTGACACAAAGAGTAGCTGGGGGGAAAAAACACTCTTAAGGAAAGTGTGCCATTGCTCTTGGCTCCTTTGCTAACAGAAGCATCTGTTCAGGGAGTAGGGGAGGGAGGCCCAGGTAGCAGTCACAATCACATGATCAAAGCCCTGCCCTTTTGTATGTGCTTAGATGTTGCACACACATACAAGGGGGCGGGGCTTCAGTTGCAAGTTCCACTCACCCCAAGCAGACATCCCTGAACAGAAGCAAAATTATATAAGCACTGTTTCCTTTCTTCATTTATATAGAATAATGGGAAGTTGAAATTTTACTTATTTTACTTCAATTATGAAAGTAGGCACCTTCAGCTATTCTTGTCACAGAATTTTGCTTTAATTCAGTCCCATGTATGATGGTTTGGTTCAACATAAAGCATTGTTCCTTCAGTGACAAAATCTAAATATAATTGCTTATTAAAATATTTATGAAATATATATTGTAGATTTCAGAATTTCTGTTTTGCTTTTTAAAGATATGGGTTGGCTATCTAAAATGTGTTCCTTTTATCTATTGGATTTATATACCATCTCTCCTCCAGGAACATAAGGCAGGGTCATAGGACTCCTTCCAATTTTCCCCACAACAATGTTGTGAGATAAATTGGACTGAGAGAGTGTCATTGGCCCAGAGTAATCTAGTGAACTTCCATGACTGAGGTTGGCACAATAAATATATTGACTGTTGGAAGGATTAATAATCTGCAATATATTCTTTATTTTTAGAATTGTCCTTTAGTAAGTTCAATAGAAGAAACTAACCTTATACGCTAAATTATTGTTTAAGAAAATATGTAACTATGTGTTTTGGCTTCATAAATGAATATTTATTGATTTTCTTATTATTATGTACATTTATACTCCACTGCGATCCCATAAGACTCTTGTACCATATTTTACAGTGCATATATATGGCTGCATTTGGGTATAGGTTCCATGAATTAGGTTTACTTTTAACTGGTTTTACTCTCAGACAAAACTATTAAATTCTGTGGGTTTATTCCTAAGAAGTTGAGTGTACTTTTAGTTGCTCTATTGAGATAGAAGATATTCTTTCTGAATAAATGGCAAAATGTTCATCTTTTCATCATCTTTATTTACTCATTTCTTTGTTGTTTTCTTTCTTTCATACAGGCCATGCAAGTAAAGGTACAGGTCTAAGTGTATGATATGTCTATATGTTTTAGTTTTAGACATGACCAAGGTCTCAACATACTTTGCATTGATCATAGCAGTGGCGTCACAAAGGGAAGGTGCATGTCCTACACAATATAAACACCATTGGAAACTTAGGCAGATTTTATCTGTTTTTATCCTCTGGCATAAAAGCCAAAGTACTGACTTCACAGGTGGGAAATAGTCCAATAATATCTCTCTTCTGCCTCTGTCACCTTCATCATGTTTTATCATTCATTTTACTTGAGTATTTCCTTATCAGAGCAATGGATGAACAGGAAATTTTACCATTGGAAACAAAATAATACTAGAGAAATATGGTGGTCACTAAAGATATTGTCCATTATTATAATGAAAGCTTTTTAAAAAAAAGAATTGTGACCTTCATATCTGCCCTAGCTTCCTTACCAAGACATACTGAAATATAACGTTTTTGAGTATATTAAACCATTTGTATAGCTGTGTACCAAGGCTATTTAAAATCCCTTTCTTGAAATATAGGTTCAGCAGTATCATACAAAAATATGGTTGTAAGACAATTAGGAGATGGTTCAGTGGAGATAAAAATAGAGTTAAAGAATTAGAAGGTAATATTTAATACGATAGCTTGCTTTATAAATCTGTGTCTCCATGGTTACAAAAATGCAGGTCTTTTTTTTTTTTAATATAAATGCATTTAAATACACATGAAGAAATGGCATCTGTGCAGAAGTAGACATTTGTTTTTGATACAGTCTCTATTTCATTATCTGCATAGTTTCAAGAGTAGTATTATTGCTGGATCATTCCATATTTTAGAACTATAGACTGCTTTTAATTGTCTAGCCACCAGCAGAGTGGAACTTATTGGCAGAAAAGATTCTCCCTCCTCCATTCAGCTCTTCCAGAGAGCCGAGGAACCATTGTAGAAGATTTGGGAACAGGGAAGTATGGATGAGGTAGAGGCAAAGATAAGTGGGGTTTCTTGTTGTACAAGCAAAAGTCCTCTTGTGCAATATTAGGCAATCCTCCATTTTTGATCTCCGGATGAGAATTAATTATGCGTTAGCGACTTAAAAATTGCTTCCATTAGTGCCCTAACCTATGGCTTCCATTCACACAGTAAATTACCACCCTTCCACAAATTCACTGAAGTTCAGGAATGTATGAAATTCAGCAGTCTTCAGGACAGGGAGAAAAAATATTGTTGTATCATCTTCTGTGACCTTAGCTGACAGAGGTACATGTATCTGTTTCAGTACGCAACTAAAATTTCCATGTAATCCCTATCAGTAGTTGTCTATTTCCTCTAACCTTTGCAAAGCTGTTGCAGTACACCTAGCATTTTAGGAATATGTAATTGCATGAAGCATAGTTGGAGGCATGTAACTGGAACCTTCCTTTGAACATACTGATTTCTGTGGGAACAAACACATTAGCAGGTAATGTTGTCAATAGCTTTATATTTTATGACAGTGTTTCACTTCAAGATCTCTGGAGAAAATATTGAAAAACATAGCATAATATCTAAACCATCATTTAGTTTTCCTGGAAAAAGTTTATTTTTACTTTGGGCTCAACCTCTCCCTCCTTTCTTGACCTCCCATGACATATTTATTCACAATTTATTATATCAGACCTAAACCAAACTTTGGTTAATGCATTTAAACTGTGATCCATTACAGCAGCCACCAATATTTGGGTCCTGGGGAGCATATTTGGAATTCTGGCGGCATGTAAAGCCATTATAAAATGGCTGCCCTACTCCTAGCTCTGCTTCCCTTTTCCTGGGCAAGGGAAACACTTCCAAACAAAATGTTGGGATGGAACCATACACACTGTATGTCTAAGAATGCCCTTGAAGTTTTTCTCAGTAGACCAAGTATGAAAGTTTCTCACTAACACAAACACAAGGCTTTCTCTCTTCTCCTCACCTCCCACCCCCCCCCCCCCCCCCCCCCCCCCC